AAAAAAAAAAACCTTTACCCCTATCCTTCAGGTGTGGCAGATAACTGGGGCAGGGGCCCTCTGAGGGGAGGACCCTCTTCCTGTGGGCTCTGGGTCTATAAGCCTGATTCAAATCGCAACCATGCCTCTCACCAGCTGTGGAACCCTGGACAAGTCACTTTACCTCTCTGCCTCTGCTTATCTGTAAAATGAGCTCCAACCTTGCAGGGCTGTTGTGAAAATGAAACAAGACTGGGTTCTGGCCTGGCAAACACTAGGTGCTCAATAAATGTTGAGTTGTGCTTGTTTTTGCTTGTTCTATCATGCTGACCATCTCACTAATCTCTTGTGGAAGAGGTGAAGGGAGCTGAGAGCTTCCCCATTTCCCAGAGGAGGAAACTGAGTCCGCAGGGCTTCTAACAGGCAGAGGGCATTATCAGATAAATTGTCCTGCAGGCTTTAAGATCCTGTCCCTCCCCTCCCAAGGACCCTCCATAGCTCCCTGCTCATGGAATATAACACAAACGTCCAGGCAGAAGAACCTGCCAGATTCTTCTCTATTCCTAAAACACCGCTGGTTCCTGCCTCCCAGCCTTTGCCCAAGCTGGTCCATCTGCCTAGGATGCCATTTCTCAGCCAGCTCCATATTTGTTACCAAAATCTTTCAAGGCTCCGCCTTAAAGGCCACGCCCTCCAGGAAACCACCCCCCAACCTCCAGCCTTCGAGGGTCCCCCCCATGGCCTACTGGACTGCGGGGTCCCGCCACTGATCACCTCGTAACCCTCATGCGGTTTTCTGAACCTCCTCACGGGGTGGGCGAGGCCTCCCCAGTCTGACCCTGGGCGCTTGAATGGAACACAGGGTGGGTGCCCCAACTCCAGGATAGCACAGCCCGCTCCCCCACCCGACTCCCTCGAACGCTGCGGCCCGGTCTTTGATCCGGCTGCCTCTGCGCCCCAAACCTGATTGGCATCGAATTACGCCGCGCGGCGGAGGGAGATAATGGCGGGAGACGCGGCAGACATGAAAGGGGGGGGGGGGCACAGCGGCAGTCCCGGCCGTTGTTAATGACCCAATAAAAAGGAAGAAGGGGAGAAATAACCCTCCCTTCCATCCCCGCCCCCAAGACAGCGGCCGGTGCACACAAAGCCGCCGCCGACTCGGAAATTACCGCGGCTCAACCCAGCCCAGCGTGACTGGAGGGGGGTGGGCTCACCTGGCGGGGCGCGGGAGGGAGGGCACACAGTCACAGCCACGCTCACAGTCGCGCAGACAGGCACACATTCTGATTCTGGATTTAATATGTTTATACTTTTTTCATCATGGATTTTTTTTTGCATTAATCGTGATTTTTGAAAAATATTACACTGAAATAATTTTCCTGATTACTGAAAAATTTTGTGCCCACCCTAGTCCCTGATCTGAAAGAGTCACACAGACAGCATCGTTCAGTGACACGCACACACTGTCTCACATACACACAGATACAGTTAAGACAGTCTCACACAGTCACACACACAGATACAGACACATAGACACACCATCACACACACTGTCATACGTAAAGTCACAGGCAGAAACAGACACGGAGCCACATGGACACACACACACCTAGCAGGGCCTGCAGAAATGCTCGCATAGAGACACACCCAGAAGTTGGGACAGAGACAAACATACAAAAATACACACACACTGAGACAAATGAGGAAGTTCACAGACATACAAACACATCACACAGGCCATGCGGAGAGAGAGAGACTGATACACACTGAGATCTATACGAACATGCAGAAATACAGGACACAAGAAAAAAACCCACACAGCGTCACAAAGACACCCACGCTGGGTCACAAAGGCATACACAGTGACACACACATCCAAGCACAAATCCCCACCCCACCAGTCTCTGCGACACACCCATGCCCTCAAGGCCACTCATTTCACACCCTCACTCATTGGTGTTCAAGTGAGTTCTGGAGGGCCAAGGGTAGGAATGAACACAGCAGAGGTGAAGTGGGGGTCACAGGGCAAAAGAAGCCAAAGAATATGCCAGTAGGGGAAGGGGTGGCATGCTGCTGCCTTGAATCCATGAGGCTGGGGCAGATGGTTTAAACTGTCAGATTATCAGTTTTATTCACTTCTAAAATGGGGTTCAACTCCTCTCCCAGGAGACTGTGTGGGTCAATAGGCAAGTACTAACTGATGGCTGCCGTTACCATGTGGACTCCCTTAGGGGCAGCCCAGGCGCTCCATGTCCATCTACACACACACACATGCACACTTTTCTCTTGGCTACCAATTTCTTTATTGCCAGGGAGGTCCCTCTTAAATCTAATCTGAGTCCCTCATGTTGTAAATTAACCCTAGTTCTGGGAATGGAGAAGGCTAGTCCCTCCAAGGAGCTTCTCCAGCTCCAAAAAACCAGGGGTCCTGGGAGTCAGATGGGGCTTTATAATGGGGTCAGGCCATGAGTCAGTCATGCTTGGCTTTGCTGTCTGATTTCAAATCCCAGCTCCACCATGAACCAAGTGTTTAACTTGGGCATAGACTTGTCCTCTCTGAACCTTGGTTGCCTTCACTATCAAATGGGTTAACAGCATCAGCATCCAATACAGGAGGCTGCTGGGAGGATGAAATGGCTCTCAGGCTGAGCTCATGGAACATGGCGGGAGCTGCTAGTCCATGTTGGGGTCAGAGGTGAGGAGTCAGGGTGCATACATACTCCCCCACACATACCAGGACAAAGGCCCTCCCTGCAGCTCCTTCTTAGGTGGACAAGGGGACTTTATGAGCCAAACCTCAGGGCCTAATTAATGCGATTAATCACAGGCCCAGCCACACAGGCCATGGGGACAGCTGGGAGGGAGGGTCATAGTCAGCTCAGTTACCCGAAAGGATAGAGGGGCAGGAAACAAGATTCTCAGTGGCATCTCCCTCTCCCATCATCCTGAACCCAGGCTCTCCCAACCCCTGCTGACCAGAGCCTACCCCCACCCCTGGCTCAGTGGGGCAGTCCCTTCTCATGTCCAAATCCAGTTTCTCCTGCTACAGCTCAGGAAGCACAAGGGATCTGCAGTCAAGGTTCTGGCTGTCCCTAGTCAGACAGGTTAAGAAGGCTGGGATTGGTCTCCCAGCGTCTGGGCTGTATTAATGCCGGGCTTGGTGGTAGTGGTAATGAGGGTGTGTTGAGGCAAAACCTCTCAAAGCCCAGAGTCTGGCCTGGGAAAAAGGCAAAAATAAAGAAAGGAGCTGGTGGCAAGGAGGTAAAGGCCCCCTTCTCCCAGGGGCCTGTGTGTGTGACCCTGTGTGAGGAGGAGGTGTGGGGGGGCTGTCCAAAGGCTCTGGCCAGGGCTACAGCAGGAGGAGGCAGCCCACTTGGGCAGGGGCGCTGCCGCGTTATAAATCACCCTCGACTCAATTAGAGACTGTGAAAGGTTGTGCACACCCAGCAGAAAGCGCGGCGCTTGGCGGGCGGCCAGCTCCCCGCGGGGGGTGGGGGCAAGAGAGCTGGTGTGTGCCTATGTGCATGTACGTGTGTGTGCTAACTGTGCACACGTGCTTGTGTCCTTGTGTGTGTCTGTTTGTATCTGTGCCTGTCTATTCTAGTAAGCATGTGTGTGGGGAGCACATGCGCCTGTGGATTTTTGTGTGTGCAATATGCTTGCATTTCCCTGTGTTTGTCCGAGGGTGTATGCACCTGTTTGTATCTATTTGTGCTATGCATGTACCTATGTGTGTGTGCACTCAAGTGTGAGTGTGTGCATGGCTGTGTCTCTCCACCACTTTGCCTCTGTGTGTGCCTCCTTGCATTTGCACACCAGGTATGAATGCCTATGTTTGTGACTGTTACACATTCATGGGCCTGATGAGTTGAGCTGGATGTGGAAGTGGGGTG